GCTGTTTCCCTCTTTACGCCCCTACCAGAGTCTTCCACCACAGCACCGGTGACATTTGATACATTTCATTTTTTCCACCTTAGTCTGGAAAGCAGTTTGGTTTTTTCATTCACAGCATACCCACAGCAGGTACTAAATCAATGTTAGCAGATGAAACTTCCACTCAGCCATGTGGGTGGCATGTGTCCTTTGCTTCCCTGCCTGGAGTCCTCTCGGGGGCTGTCTGGGGCCAGGCTCCTGCGCTCTGTGGTGGGGAAGGCAGGAGAGGTGGCCTCATCTCTGCTATCAGTAGCCACCACCAAGGATGTTCTGTCCACACCTACGGCACAGTTTCCCAGCTTTGGCAAAGCTCTATGCTACTTCTAGGGTTCTCAGATAAACCATAAGATACCCAGGTAAGTAATGAGTAATGATAATACTGAGTATTAAAGAATTTCAGATGAATTATGAGTAATGTTTTAGCGTAAGTGTATTCCATGCAATAGTTGAGATGGCGTATATCCTGAAAATGGGTTCGTGTACGTGCAGTTCAAACGGAACTGGGTGTCCCATATTTCTATCTGCGAATTCTGCTAAATCTGGCAGCCCTGCTTCCCAAAAAAGGGAGGTGGTTCCCTCTAGGGCTGGCGTCGCTGGCACCCTAAGCAACCCGCCTGGCTGAGGCTGCCGGGCCACCCTGCTGTGCCTCCTGAAAGCTGGGCAGAGCAATCAAGAGCCAAGGCTGGGTGGCCAGAGCTGAGAGGTGGCTTTGCTGGAGCCAGTGGTCTGGGCTGCGTGGGGCTCACCCTCTGCACCCTTGCGCATCAGTTTCCCCGAAGCCCTCGGGCAGTCATTCCCTCAGCCACCCCGTGTGGGCTCTGCTCTCCTCCGCGCTCTGGTGCAGGTCCACAGGAACGAGGCCAGGTGGAAACCTGAAAAACCACATGTTCAGAGCTGCCTCCGCTCCACCTGCAGCGAGGAGCAGGGATTCGCCAGGCTGGGGCCTCATTTGGATGCTTGCTCTCCCAGGCAAACAAACCCCAGGGGGTCCGCCTCACCAGTGCCTCCACCACAGACCACATGTGACAGGTGGGGACAGGACAGCGCACACAGGCCAGTGCGGCCCACCTCTCGTTCGTTTTTCCGCATCGGAGGTTCCATTAGGTGGAAGCTGAGTAATCTGTCCATTAGGAGTAGGGTGAGCAGAAGGGTTGGCAAATGAGAACATCCCCAGGAGGGAGAGAAGAAAAAAAGGGGGGGCAGGGAAAAGCAGTCCCTGTTACTAGAAGAAACAATTGTTTCCATCGCTGGGAACAGATTTGGGTGGCGATGGCACAGATTTACAAATTCCTCAAAAATCAGACCGAAAGAGCTGGACTGGGGTGGGAGGGGTGAAAAGAGAATTTTACACATTCTCATGCTTTGCTAAGATCCTTTCCTGTCTCAACAAGTTGGTGTTATTTTCCAGTCAAGGCAGAGCCTCCCAACAGAGAGGGCTCACCCACCTTTTACTCTGGGCCTGCCCACTGTTCCCCTGGCAGGTTCATCTTCAAACGCAAAAGGCCGCTTTCTCAGAAAAGCTGCTGAACAGTCCCCAAAACACGCTGCAGCTGCTGGGCCTCAGGAATGACAGATGCTCCTCTCAGGATCCGGGTCTTCTGCCAAATGCATGCACATTTCCCTCTGGCTGTTCCTTCTCACTAGCTGGAGTCCTCCCAGATCTGGCCCATTCCCTTTCCCTTTCAATCCCCGCGTTCCTCTCACCTTGTGGTCTTTACTATTTAGTGGGCTGGGAATCAATGCCGGACTGGCCTCTGACCTGCGCCTGCAGCTGAGGGGGACCCACTCTCTGTGGGGCTTTTCAAATGGCCAGGTTGTGCTCGTGGTATTTCATGGAAAGCCTGCTCTAAAATGTAGAGTCAATGCATTGCAAAGAAGGGGCGGCATGCGGAAGAGGGGTTGCTGGGTAACTCTCTTAATTTTGGGGGGCGCCTCCATACTGTTTCCCATAGTAGCTGCACTAACTTACATTGTGGGCGCACTAACACCTTAACTCAGCAGTAGGGGAGGGTCCCTTTTCTGCACATTCTTTCCAACACTTGTTATTTCTTGTCTTGCTGGTAATGGCCATTCTAACAGGTGGGTCTCGGAGGGATGGAGGGGGGAGCAGTGGGTAATAGGGGTCAAATATACGGTAATGGAAGGAAATTAGACTTTGGATAGTGAGCACTCAATAGCGTACACAGATGTCAAATTATAACGTTGTACACCTGAATATTATATAATGCCATTAACCAATGTTACCCCGATAAGTTTAATTTTTAATAATGGAAGGCAGCACCGGAGGAGTGGGGTCCACAGCCAGCTTCGTTGCCGTGGCGTTGAAAGCAACTTCACTTGACTGGAGAAGATTCGGCTCAAAAGAAAGCCAGGGGAAGCGCTTGTGTTTCCTGTCGTATTTTTTTAAGTTGGTTGAGAAGCTCTGGAAGGGGACCAGGGAGTGGGTTTGATCAGGCCTGACCAGAGCCCTGAGTCCCAGGGATCTCTCTGCTTTTTAAATCAGGCCCCGGGGAAGATGCTGTCTTCTCGTTGCTGCAGAACCTCAGAGACACTAAAACAGCAAAGATAAAAAAGACATAGTCCATGTCCTCCAGGAGTTTGCAAGCAAATGAAACCACCAGACTTGGGAACCCATACAGTGGCTTAGTGTTTATGATGTAATGCGGCCAGGAGGTGGTACCCCTGGGTCCCTGAGGCCCTCTTGGGGGCTTGAAAGGTCAACCCTGTTTTCATAATCCCACTAAGACAGTATTTGCCTTTTCCCCTTGTTACTCCCTCGTGAGTTTCCAGAGGCCACAGCATGTGTGGTAATGCAAAGCATACTACCTGTATGCTTATACAGTCTTGAGTTTTAAAAATTCGAATATATCCTATCAACAGCTGAAACCCACATGTGCAAAATTCTTTGAGATCCTCAATAATTTTTAAGATTGCATAGGGATGCTGAGCCTAAAAATCTTGAGAACTGCTAAGAAAACATACCATTACCCAGTGTCCTCGTTTCTCATTAACGCATTTTACTGACTAAAAATTATTTCATCTCATTCCGTGAATATTACCTTGTTAGGTGCTTTCTCGGTGTCCTGATTTTCTAACATGACAGTTATTAAGCCATCAGATGACTAATCTCTGTGTGTGTTTTAATGTCTGTGTTTAAATGTCTTTTGAGGCAGCACAAGATCAAACTTTATTACTTCAGCCAACAATCAACAATAGTTGATGCATTTGTTTTACATTCTACCGTCCTGCTGTTTACCTTACTTGTTGTTATTTTTTATTTCTTTAAATTGTGTTTTCTATAGTGCACTTAAAAATGTTTTCTTTTTTGTCAGGCAGTAAATTCCCCTCTTCTGTCCATCCTTCTATCATTTCGGCATTGTCATATTTTCAAGCAATTTTTTGCTCCCTATAATTTTATCATTAAGAGTATAGTATTAAGGAAATAAACTTAAAATTTTTTCCTTCTCGAGATGCAAAATGAAGTCTCGTCTGCAACATACCTCGGTAGCATAAAGTCGTTTATGAAATCGTGCATGTACCTCTTGCAGTTCTGACAGCATGGAATATAATTTTTCTACTTGAATTCTCTTTATATTTTTTTCTAGTTTGTCTGCCATGAATCTTGAGCTCTACCTAGCCCTCAACTGTGCTCAGATCTCCATTGCTCTCTGGAAGTGAGCTTCACAGCTAAGGGGGGTTGTTGACAAATTTCATCTCCTCCAGGTCTTAAATTATTTTCCCTTGCTCTGAAGTGGGAACTCAGTGAGCATTTCCAGATACTGTACTTGGGGTCAAACTGGATTTATCTTAATTGTGAGACTTCCCCAACCACCCCCCCCAACCCATATTCCCCTTCCAAAGCCCTGGTACCCATCCTTATCGACACATTTAAATGGTCTTCTCGGCTCTACTGGTAACTTACAGAATTCTGAATTTGCTCACTGATGGGGTAATTTTTATGGTTTGGTTAGTTGGTTTTAAGTTGAAAAACTTAACAATAATATATCTTAAATTCATTCATTGAGGGGTATTCCTTAATGAATTCATACTAAAGACATACCAAAGTGGTTATTTCTATAGTTCTGTGATAAATTCTAAATTACTCAGGGTTTCTCTTCTATGGTCATTTTATTGTTGCCTGATCAATTTTTAGCTGGACGTGGCCTTTTCAGGACAGTTTTGCTTCAACGGTGGTAGCTGCTTTTTTCTCCTGCAATAGTAAGTCTGCTCTTCTAGCAGCTTCTCCATGATTCTTTTTCCTCTATACCATTTACAAGGCCCAGTTTAACAGCTTCGTGCCTTTTGAGGGTGTGGGGGACCACTCATTATTCCTTCTGTATTTGCTATTAAAGTAGTAAGTGTCCATCCTTTTGCACTTTCCTGAGTCTTGCCATCTGGTCTCTGGCTGGCCTGTATTCCCTTTTGATGTTGTAATACACATTCATTAAACTCAAATGTCAAAAATGTGCACACATTTTCTTAAGCTTATTTTTCAGCTTTGTGCTATTATTTTTCATTGTTTCTGACTGGGAGGTGGGGCTGAGAGTGAGATTTGACTTGAACTTGGCTCTCTTTACTATAACACACGTTTCCCCAGAAGCCCCACTCACACTTGCTCTCTGTCTTTGACATACGCTTTTGTAAGGCCGTTGACTCCTGGTGTAAATGGTGCTAAGAGGAAGATGGGCTCGGGGTAGTGAGGCTCAGGAATCCAGTCCTGTACGGTCATGAGCTGGGCCATCTGTAAGTCTCTTCTTGCTCAACGGAATGGAATAAATATTGTTCATTGTGAAATCTACCACGCAGGCTGCCAGGACAAATGGGATCTCACCCATAGCCAATCGCTGCTCTTACAGGCAAATTCGCCAGCACTGCCTGAGACTACTCCAGCCTCCCTGTCTCTGATGCCACAATTCTGAGTCTGCCGCTTACACAAGAGGTTGTGGAAAGTTGTGTAGATTCTCCCTGAGTGTCCTACAGGGCTCCTCGTGCCAGATTCCTGCCCGATGGCTTTTATGAAAAACTATCTCCTCCCCATTCTGGGGATCTTCTTGGCCTACTACTACTATTCTGCGGATGAGGAATTCAGACCAGGTAAGTACTAATGTGTCTAATTTTGGAGGAATAGATAAAAAGGAAAAACAGGGGTGGCTGGAGTGTCTGAGGATCATGCTGATTTCCTGATCCCCAAAGTTGCAGAACAAGAGACCCTGAAGTGGAGAGTGTTTGTGTGTGCTCCAGCAACAGGCAATGGGTAATAGGAGTGTGGGGAAGGGTAATCATGTGGCCAAGAGAGTGCCAAATAGTTCATGTTGTACTTGGCACCGTTAAGGAAAAAGTAATTTTAGATCCCTTACAAAGATGAGGCTAATTCCAAAATTCACAACTTAGCCAAATATTTGGGTCCCATGGAAAGATCTGTAAGTGGGAGACAAGAAAGGAGTTGGCGACTAAATAGTGACAGGGAATCCCTGCAATCTCTGAGAGCACACTTGTTTTGACAACTTTTTGCATTTTATTTCAATTGAGCAGAACTGGATGAGTCCAGAAACATCTGGAGCTCTAGTGTTCCAGCTGAAACTTCTGTCCATGGAGTGTTTTTGGGTGTGTGGGGATTTTTTTGGAAAAACAGTAGGAAGACTTGGTTTTGAGCAACCAAGCAAAACCCCCATTTCAGAGCATATTTATAAAAGACTTGAACTTTCCTCCACTGATTTATGCAGTTTGAAATGAGTTGATCTGGACTCATAACCATGAGACATTGAGATAAGGCTGCCCATATCCAGAGCAGGAAGAAGAATGTTGCTGCCAAGTTGAGCATGCTCCTCACTTACTTTTGGGGTTTCCCAGAGATGCTAAAAGGAAAGAAAGTGATTGTCACGGGGGCCAGCATGGGGATCGGAAAAGAGATCGCCTATCATCTGGCGAAGATGGGAGCCCATGTGGTGGTGACAGCGAGGTCAGAAGAAGCTCTGAAGAAGGTGAGAGTCCTGTGCCCACAAACACATACATGCGCACATGCCCAGATTTATTTTTTATGTACTTATGTATACATGCCAACTCAAAAAGTCTGGCACATCCATCCACAAAGGCATACAGACACATAAACACACATGCGCATGCATACATACATACAGGTTCAAACACCCAAACACCCACAAATAACATGAAAATAGACATTTCAGTGTTCATTCCCATGCACATATACAGACACAAAGCTCTTGGGCTATATATACTCATAGACATGTCTATGCACACACAGTTACACACGAAGTCACGGATATGTAGATGTGTGCTCAGATACCAAAATTCCAGTATCTACACATGAATTCATATTCTTGTACCCATGCAAACCCTCACACACATGCCTTCTCGTAAGCTCAGGCTCACAAACCTAAGTATATACAAACATTCACAAACATAGGGCCACCTGCATAAAAACTAGGATGGTTCAGAAACATCCATTCACAGAAACTCATAAATACAAATCACAGACTTGAACCCAAGCACAGTGATGATTTATCCATTTACACCCTACCTGAAGTACTTCCAGAAAGTATTTCATACAGAGGACAAAAATTATGTCAGGTCGGACTTAGCAACACACACACACACACACACTCACGCATGTTCACTAAATTCACATTCATATACAAAAACCCGCTACCATTTCTTATCAAAACAGTGCTGTGACCAACGTCCCATCTAAGTCCTCACTGCTTCAGAGACTGCCCCCAAAGGTCTGCAGCGGAGACTGTAACAGTAGGGCTTGTAACCCCCCCCCCATTCTTTTGACAGTGTTTCTGTAAATGCTGACTCCGACTGATACGTAGCTTGTAGATACACATCATGTTTGTAGGGAATCCTAGGAACTAGCTTCAGAAGATACAGACTCCAACCTTCAGTTATCCCAGTTCCAGGATTTGCTGACCTTCATCCATAGAACCAGAATGACAAAGAACCAAGGTGACGTCCACCAGACCATCGCTTGACCAGTTTCGAGGTCCTTATCAGAATGGACTGTGCTGGCCTGCATGTAGAGAGCTTTTCAAACCCCTCCCCTTGATTTCTTTTTTTCTACCGCGCCTCTCCCTCCTTATTAAAACCTCTACCTGCACCGAGATGTGGAGATGGGCTTTGTGACAAGAGTCCTCCATCTCCTCAGGTGACCTGCACTTGAATAAAACCATTTCCCTTTTTCACCAGCATCTGTCTCATGAGTCTGGTTTCTGTGGCAGCAAGCAGTCGAAGTTGGGTTCCGGCTACAATACTGAAACCAAGGCCACTATGTCCCTGCAGGTAGTATCTGATTGCCTGGAGTACGGAGCAGCCTCAGCACACTACATTGCTGGCACCATGGAGAACATAACTTTCGCGGAGCAATTTGTTGCCAAAGCTGGAAAAATCATGGGTGAGGCTGCTCTCCTCTCTCCTCTTCTGGACTTGCTCTGTGGGTCTTTGCTCTATGGACTTGGCTCGGGGAGCTTTGGGAAAGGGGAGGGGGAGAGGGAAAGAAAAGGCACCAACCCCAGATGGTTTCCCTCAACACGGTCATTCCTTGCAGGGGGGCTAGACATGCTCATTCTCAATCACATCGCCAAAGTCACTATGGAACCGTTTGCTGGTGGCACGTACTTAACGCGCACAGTTATGGAGGTCAACTACATCAGCTATGTGGCCTTGAGTATGGCTGCAGTCCCCATGCTGAAGCAGAGCAATGGAAGCATTGTCGTCGTCTCCTCAGTGGCTGGTGAGTGGGGCAGGGACCAGTGTGCAAGGTAAGAGCAGGAGAAATGCCAGGGATGGTGTTGGGGACCTCTGTAGCAAACATGCATTTTTTATCAGTTTTCGTGCAGAGAAATAACACAATATAAACTGGAAGTTGAAATGCTCACGATGATATTAAGCAAAAGCTGATTAACAGGTTTCCCACACAGGTAGATATAGGAATGAAAGACTTGGGCATGCAAACTCAGTGAGGGGCGTGCATGCTGAGTAAGAGAGATGCTGTTGAGAACAAAGGGGGGCGTACAAAATGAGGGATCGTTCAAGGTAGAGGGGCTACAAGATCCCTGGAAGGAATGGAGAGAGAGCATTAGTTCAGAGTGCCTCCCTGAAGCCTGGTGGCTCATGATCTATGAATGGAAGTCCAATGGGACATTAAGAAACTGCTCGAGGTACAGCCTGTGCTGATGCTGAGAGAGATCTGGTCACGATGAATTAAAGGGATTTTGCTTCCTTCATGACCAAGAGCTATAGGCAGGTGACGTTAGTTGATGCCAAGAAAGAACTGAAAAGTGAATTATTTTAACAACCTGCAGTTGCCTCATTAGTGAGTCAAGCTAAGGCAAAATGAAATACAAAGCGAAACACGTCATATTATTAACAGACCTGCCTATTTTGGGGTACACTCCAAATCTGAACTTGCTACACTAAAAATCCTATTTGAATAACCAACTAGGTAGGGAAAGAGTGTGTACAGAGGAATATTCATGAAGGGAATTCTGTGTGATGAAGAGAAGTCCTTGATGTTTTACATGGTGGCAGCATCAGAAGGTGTCACCAGTAAAAAACCAGAGAGTTTCCGGCTTGGGGAATTTCCAGGCACATTTCATCATAGAGTAAAGTTCTGCAAATATTTGTTGGTTAGTCCATTAGAAGGATGTGGCTGGAAGATGCAAACACCAGGATGAATGTCAGCCATCTAAATTTCATTTCTGGCAATGTAAAAACAAAGGACCTAGAAGACTTTGTACATTCTTACATATGTCACAAATGTTAGTTATGACTGTAACTAAAAACACCTCCTAGGTTGTGAAGAGTTCTACTTCCCGGACACAAGAGAGACGTGCATAGTGGTGGGGTAAACGGGCGGTGTGTCTGCACTACCCGCCAAACAGAGTGATTAATATGCATTCCTGTGCTTCCCAGGCAACACAGTCTCCCCACCCATCCCCAGACACAGCCTCTCTGGGCTGAAAGAAAGGGAGACCTTCCAGAGGTGTACTGAGTAGGAAGGGTGCTGGGCGAAGCCCCAATTCACCCTAGGGCATTGGCCAAAACTTGATATCAGTCATGCTGTAGGTGGTTTTAAGGATTACAGTTGATTAATACATGTACTCTAGGCAAAGGAATGCATCATCTTTGGCTGGAATATTTAACTTTCTAACCGTGTGAATATTCTAGAAAGGACCAAGAATTACCGTAGGGAAAAAAAAAAAAAAAAAGAATTACTGTAGAAGTCCAAGGACATGATGCAATTTTGATAACCTCTGTTTCTACATATCTTCTCCACCTCCTAAACATCATTTTATAATTTCTGTGACATCTGGGAGATGGGAATCTAGTCGGACAACTATCCTCTGAGTCTGTTGTTTGCACTGCCAAAAGAATTCAGCCTGTTTGCTTTGAAGCGTGTCTCTGAACTTCCAAAGTACAGATAACTTTGCTTTCTCTCCCTAACTGAAAAATTTCTCTGTTCTGTGCCATATTCTTTTAGACGGTCAGCACTAATGTTCATTAATCCTTCCTCCTTAAAATCTAAATCCCACAAACATGGGATGCTAAATCTCAAATTGAGGTCAGCCAAAGAGTATTGGACTGGAGTTGTGTGGGGGTTTTTTGTGGGTTTTTTTTTTTTTTTTAAACTGGGCCGTTTTAATGTTCTTTACAATAGAATAAATAGTTCTCTGATGACTGCAGACATGTACCCTGTGAGACAGTACTCAGAAACATCGCAGTAAGAGAATCTTCCTGACTGGTGCATAGTCTTCAATAATTATAAGGAGTTACTTGTATGAAACTGCGGTCTCACCTGTAAGACTGCATTTATGCATCCATCCTTTTCAGGATTGCTGGTAACCTGGGCATATTCTCCCCAAATAACCTTGCCTCCTTGTGTCACAAGGTGCATCTTGCCCACGTTCACTTCGATGACAGTACCTTTGGTAATGACACCCAAAGTTGTATAAAGTGGGGATGAGGGATTCTTCTTTACACCAGGTATTGGCAGGCAAAAGGTAGCTTTCGGTTCAGGGTGTGTTACATGGGCCTTCTTGAAACGTAAGCCCGTTGGCCTAGTGAATCTTTCATATTTAGGTGGTTTTCTAGTAAAGCCATCTCCAGCAAAGCAGACTTTAGGAACAATCTTCTTCCATGCTTTTTTCTTTCTCTTTTCTGTTCGAATAACTTTTAATCCTTCTGTTTCTCCCTGGGCATGAACTTTGGGCAGAAGGACTTCCCATTTCCTTGCTTTCCATTTTTGTTTTTGTTTAATCACATTGGAAAGCACTTTAGCCCGGGACTGTCCCTCTCTGTCCAGCAGGTACGCAGGTGCTGTCCCTGTGGAGTCGTCTCATCATTTTTCTGTTTAGTGTTTCTCTCCTCGTGCATCTTGCTGGTCTTTTTCATTTGGATTTTCTCAGCATGGCGCTGTTTAGGGTAGAGCTTAGCCTGCAGACCAATCATCTTTTTTGTCTTCTTTGAACGTTCATGAGCCTCTCGGCTTCCTTCTTTCTTTTTTTCTCATGGTAGTCCAAATAGTAGCCATAGCGCTTACGGTGTGACTCAATAAACTAGTGTTGTGGCCTGGCTGCAGCCACCTGCCCGCCGGGCGCAGTCCCCAGGATGCAAAGAAGCTCTCAATCCTCAGGTCTCAGAGTGGACTGGAGTTTTAATCATTCCTTCCAGGGGCTGCATTTAGTTGTTTATGGAATTATAGTGATAAGCAGTAGTTTTTGTCCCCAATGCATGTCTAGGCATTGCATTACATGGAAATCCTATACTTTTAATATGGTTTTTAAAGCCTCAGCTACCTCTTTAGCATCAACAGAGACAATATTGCTGCCTCTGGGAACTTCCTTATAATCTACACCCATTCGTCATTCAATACCATTTTGTCACCTACCATCTAATCAAGTTTCTACTTATGTATAACACTGACTAGTCTCCCCTTCTTCCCCCACTTACAGGTTAAGATACTAGTTGAGCTACTATAACCAAAACCTCAATTTAAAATGGCTTAAACAAATAGAAACTTATTTTTCTCTCATGGAACAGCCTGGGGTAAGCAGTCCAGGGCTGATATGGTAGTTCTGTCCCAAGAAATTGTCTAGGAACCTTAGTATCACAGGACCACCTCTCTAGGGTGTCCCTCTCCTGTATGTCAAGATGGCTCATTATCAGGTCAGAATTCTAGCTAGAGAAAATGGAGAAAGAAGGATACATGCAACCTGAAAGTTGCACATTTCTCTTCTGCCACAGCTGGCGGCATTTGTGGTCTTTATTCAAGGTAGGCTTGTGTCCATTTGAAAATCAGGGGTTCTATTTCTATCAAAAACACTAATGTTGATAAACAACTCTCAGCCTCCCAAATCACTCATGGGAAGATGCACATAAGACTGGAAGGCAGTGTGCTCCTCAGTCTGGAGCACTAGAGCCAGGAAGAGGCACCCACATAACATATGGTTGTGAAAATCAGCAGAGTTTCTGTCCACAGAAGTCTGCTAGAGACAAAGGCACCCTCTTAAAGGGCCAATGCACAAAATCTTGTTCTCAGTCACTCACCCTAGGCTCCAGTGGAGGGAGAGCAGAGCAGACTAGAGTTGTGTGAGGTTCTGGGGAGAGAGCTACAGGAACAGCCACCAGGATATCACTCTCCCACACCGCAGACACCATCTTATTTGCATGGAGCACTCCGCTCCATACAGCATTAGCCTGGGGAAAAGCAATTGCTCCACCTTCCGGACACCCTATAGCTCCACCCTGCAAAGCTGGCACCCTACTGAGGAGTGAACTGCCTGGACCAGAGTGCAGAGGTCTAGGCAGACTCAGGGTGTGTCAGTGACTGAGCCGTTTCCCCCACTTTCATGCGAACCTGACTGAAGCTCCCCCCTCCCCCACTCCCATCCCCCCGCATAGGAGATCTGCTAGACCCACTCTCCCAACTCCCAGCGGCCCCACCCTCCTGACTCCTGCTGGCTTCACCCTGCCAAGGTATGGGTAGAATCTGGGACAAACAGAGTTGAGTAACTGTGGAACAGGGGCCAAAACCCCCACCTTCCCCCAAACCAGACCAGCACCTCTCCCTCTCCCACCTCCCAGCAGCCTAGCCCTGCTGAGATTGGACTCCTGGCAAAATCTGAGACAGTCTGAGTTGTGTGGCTCTAGGATGGGGGAAATTTTTCCCTCTCATGCCTGACTGGTGCAGAGTTCTCTCTTTACATGGCCAAATCTTGGTCTGTTTGGGCCTAATAAATTCTGCTGGCCTCACCCTGATGACTCCCTGAGACCCCTGCCCCACCACAAAAGTGTGTGAGAACCCACTAGGTGGAAGCTAGACTTAGTGTATCCTGGGACATTTGCTGAGTGGCCTCAGACCCAGCACTGGCTCTGAGGGAACCTGTATCAATCTGGTAAACACCACTCACCCTACCTAGTGACTCACTGAGAAGATACCTCATGCATCTCAAGTACTACAAGAGGCTCTTTCAGTGACTGAGCCTAACAGGCAGCCAACATATGGAGGCAGGCAGAAACAGATCTTGGGGTGCCTTGGGAGTTTTGCCAATTTGCCTCTGGCCGGGTGCTCATAAAAGCTGGCCTTGGTGCACAGGTAGCCCTTCCCACACACACTCAGGCCCAGCAGAAGCTGCCACAAACTGTGGATCACATTGTAGCTCCAAATAGGTTGCCCAGGGCCACTCACAGGCAGTGTCTGACACTGGCCTGCACCAGAGTCCCTCTCAAGAG